ACCCCCCCCGCCCTGCCACACGTTAGTTCTACTGTTTGTTACTCAACATAAGGTGACAAGCGCATGTCATTTTGTATTTTTCCTGGCGGTACTGAGTTTCTGCATCGCAGCCTATCTCCCCCGACCAACTCTATTTTGACCAGAACTAATCAACACTCAGGTGTTGAAGGCCATTATATCCAGGGTACGCTGTCAACCTTAGAAATATAAGCGCGAACTGTCTTAAAGAGGCTCGTCGGAAGCTCCTCATCAGAAGCTTCTTCCACGGGCCCTGCAGATGCCTTCAGAAGCTCTTCGGAAGCCCTACGCAAGCTTCCTAGAAACCCTGTATAAGCCCTTGACAAGCCCGTCGGACGCCCTTCAGGGGCCATTGAACAGGTCTTCAGAGACTCTTCGGAGGCTCGTCAGAAGCCCTTGAGAGGCTTTCCCAGGGCTCTTCAAAGGCCCTTCGAAAGCTCTCAAAAGACACTGCGAAGGCCCTTGGGCGGCTTTTCGAAGCTCGTCATAAGCTCTTAAAAGGCCCCCCAAAGGGTCTGCAGAAGTACTTCAAAGGCTCTTCATACGCTCTTAAAAAACTTGTCAAAAGCTAGTCGTGCGCTCTTCAGAGGCCCTTAACAAGCCTGCAGGAGCGTTTCAGAGGCTCACAGAGGCTCCAAGACGTCCTTCAAATGCTTTTCGGATGTGGTTTACAATTCTCTGGAATTTTCCCAGGGAGATGAAAATCAACTGGGGAGCGAACTACCCAACCAGGGAACGAACCTCCGTTTTGGAAATGGTCACTGGGGAAAGAATCTTCCACCGGGGAGCGACTTTTTCTCGCATGCGCCCCACGCCCCGCCCATGTCGGCACACCCCCTCACACGTTGCGACGCCCCCTACGGAACCCCACCGGATGTCCCGCTGGCGCAGTCCGCTCGTTTCCCCACACTGCCCATTTCGGCACACCTCTCAACGTTTCGTGGCCCCGCAGGGAGCTCCACCGAAGGCGCCGCTGGAGTCCGCATGCGTCCCCACCGCCCCTGTCGGCACACCCCTCACACGTTGCGTGGCCCCACGGGGAGCTCCTATGAAGGTCCGGATGGCGCAGTCCTCACGCGTCCCCCACGCCCTTTCCAACACGCCCCTGAGCAAGCTCCACCGAAGGTCCCGCTGGCACCGTCCACACGCTCCCCCCCGCCATTCCTATAGTCATACCACGACATGTTCTTGGAACCCAGGAATGTTATAAGAACAAAAACGATGCTCTTATAGCATAAACCCGATGTGATAAAACAAGACAGACTCCGCCAGACATGTTCTAATACCATTTCCTGGAAACCACGAAAAGGTTCTTAGAACATTGTTTGGTGGGGCGAGCCAGGACGCTTCGCCGCTGCTTGACCTCAGGACTCACTGGCCGCCTCTTCGGCCCCGTGCCGCAGACGACCCGCGATCCTGCGGGACACTGCCCTGGCGGTGCCGGCGGCAGCCGCGCGGGCTCTGTCCTGGCGCCGGGAGCCTCTGGGACACTGCCTCACTTGAGCAGGGACCGACCGCCCCGGCATTCCTATAGTCATGCCACGAGATGTTCGTAGAACCCGAAAATGTTCCAAGAACAAAAACAATTTTCTTATAATATAAACCCGATGTGTTAAAGCAAGACAATCTCAACTAGAAATGTTATAAGAACCTTTCGTGGAAACCCCAAAAAGTTCTTAGAACATTGTTTGGTGGGGCTATAGGCGAGCCAGGACGCTTCGCCGCTGCTTGACCTCGGGACTCACTGGCCGCCTTTTTCGGCCCCGTGCCGCAGACGACCCGCGATCCTGCGGGACACTGCCCCGGCGGTGCCGCTGGCAGCCGCGCGGGCTCCGTCCTGGCGCCGGGAGCCTCTGGGACACTGCCTCGCAGGCGGCCGCCCCCACGGTGCCGCAGCCGGCTGTGCCGTCGGTAGCCGCATGGCTGGAATTCCTTCGGGGCGACCTTCGCGTCGCGGGGCCCTCCTCTGCGCTCCGCCTCTCTGCAGGCGAAGGGCCTGCCTCTTGCGGGCGCCTGGGACAAAGGGCTCCCCGAGCGCCCGCTGGTTCGTCGCCCCTGCCCCCGCGTGCCCGCATGCGCCCACGTCATCCTGCTTCTCCGCGCCGCGAGTCTTCTGCTGGGCGCCCCCCCCTCCTGCTTCCCACCTGCCTAGCGACATTCGCGGCTGCGCATGGTGGGGCCGCCCGCCCGGATGGCTCAAGGCATGGGCCCGGGGACACCTCGAGCCCCTCCCCGCAGCCAACCCTTCATCCCGGATCGCTCTGGTGAGTCCCGGGCCCGCAACCGGGCTCCAGATTGGGCGGCGATCCCAGGTGGGAAGTCAGAAAGCGGCGGGGCTTCTCAGAAGCCCTCCAGGATGTCTTCGGGGAAGGCCTGGGAAACGTCTGAGAAAGCCCGGGGGCCTTCCCAGCCTTCCTTGGAGGTCCGACCCTCTTCACTTCCCCCCCCCCATGGGCGCGCCGCCGACACACGCCCACGCCGACACACAAAACCAGACCAAAACAACGCCGTCTCGGCAGTTGTCGCATCGTCCAGTGTCTGGCACGCCCTTCGCCACCAGCCCGCGCCGCGGGCCAGGGCCGCGCCTCGTATGTGGAGTATGTGGCGAACCCCTTGCCGACCACGCAGTGCCAGTTTGGCCCGTACCTGCGCGAACAGTCGGGGAGACGTAAGACTCGGGTACGGGGGACTCGGGATGGCCTGACAGGGCCATCATAAAAATCACGAGACCCAATCAGAAATTTGACGCGAACTCCCGCTGCAAACATCCCACGAAAACTGAACCGTCAAAATCCAGGACGCGCTCGTCAAAAACCGTCGGCGAACCCGAGTTCCGGCGTACCCGAGTCTTACGTTTCCCAGAAGCAGGGCACGCGGCGAGAGGGCACAAAGGATTAGCAGTAAAGGGGCCCCCGGCCCGTTGGGAGCGGACCTGAGCTAGGAGACCCAAGACACTTCAGGGATATGGTCTTTTCGGCGAGCGTATCGGGCCAGTGCGCACGCAGATGGATGATCCCCAATGCAAGCAAAGACGGGGACATCGACCAAGCTACGTCTTCATTGCGTTTTTCGGGTTAGGGGTTCTTTCATTCCCGATGAAGAAAGGATTCGAGGGAGCATCGTGGGACGGGCCAGGGCCTCCCAGGTTCCCTGCTGTTCCTCCTGCTGCTGATCCTGCTCATGCCACATCGCTTTCCTTTCCGACGGGGGGACGGATGTCTGGCAGCCGAGCACTGCCCGACGCGACCTGCGTCTTCACGCTGAGCGAACGAAAAATTGTGTGAGCGGCGAAAATAAACGAAACTTGCGCAAGATGCCACAACGACCTTACGCCGCAAACTTACGCGGGCCGTCATCCCGGCAGGCTGCACTGGAAGCGAGAGCGCTGACGCGCGACCCTACGCGAACGGCTTACGCGCGAATGTCGGCGCACTCGGCCCCGTGTTCTTCCGTCGTTCATGTGAGGGTCGTGCAAAGAGTTCAAGCGGGCATTCTGAAGTACCACGAAGTATAGCTCAGACCCTGGTTCGGGCGCCTCCTTCGCACCGCCTCGCTTCTGGTCCCAGGGTTCTCGACCTCGTCTTCAAGCACGTCCTACTCTTGCTTCCCATCCCCATCCTCACCCTCGCAACGCCTCCAGAGGCCACTGGAGGCCACCCCGAGAACAACCACAAACATCGACCCTCGCCATTCCCCCTCGCCGCACCTCACGATCCTCCTCCTCCCTCCCCCCAGGAGAGCCCAGCATCGATTTAATGCATCGGATCGGCGATCGACATGGATCGGATCGGCGGGAATCGGCAGAGCCTGTGCTCCGAATCGGCACCGATCGACCTCGAATCGAGTCCGAGGGATCGCAACGAGCCCTGTCCTCGCGCTGCCCCCCCTCTCTGGAGAAGACACAACGGCGTACACACAAAAACTTGTGGCGCTCCGCGCGGCTTTCTTGGATCTGCGCCGGAAACGCCACCCCTCCCTGGCGCGCGGAGCGCGCCAGGGGCGGCGCGCAGGACGCGGATCCAAGAAACCCGCGCGGAGCGCCAGCAAGTGCAGTTTAGGTCGGGCATGTCCTCCTACAAGAGGATATTGGGCAAACGTAAAAAATACAATAAAATAACCCAAATCGTCAACACATAGTAAACAAAATCGCCCCCCGAACGTTCAACCTTGCACGTCCGCGGCTGGGTCGCCGCCGAATTGACATGACGCGAACCAACCGTACCCGAGTGCACGTGACCCAGCGCCACTCCGCCAGAGGCCTCCCAGATGGGGTCGGAGCACGTGGAATCGGAGCACTGCGCCGCACTGCCGATGCATCGGCGATGCATCGCCGATGCAGTGGCCACACATCTGCGACGTCGGCGATGCATCGACGCCGTCGGCAAGGAGAACGTCGGGCTCCACATCGAGCCACACCGCCGATGCGTCGGCGATGCGGCGCGACCTCCTCCGACCCCATCTGGCAGGCCCAGAGCTCCGCGCCCCGAGGGGCGCCACGACCTCCGCGCTCTGGCGCCGCCCCCCTGAGAGGGACAGCCCTCTGGACGAGGCCGAGCAGCCTCAAGGCTGCCATCGCGCCCCCAACGCGTGCTGATGGGCCGACCTTCCACCGCCGCCACCATGGGTAGGAGAGGGGGAGGAGGAGGAGGAGGAGGAGGAGGAGGAGGAGGAGGAGGAGGAGGAGGAGGAGGAGGAGGAGGACATCCCGATACTCCCTTCTCCCCCGTCCTACCTGTGGCGGTGGTGGAAACTGGGCCCCCACGCGTGTGCCTTCGGGCGGGACGGGGGGCAGCAGCAGCCGGAGGTGGCTTTGCAGCCCTCGCCCCAGAACCCTCTGCAAGTGTCCGAGGGGCTCCCGAAGGTGAGGGCCACCAGCGTCGCCCCAGACCTTCCGGGAGGGCCAACAAATATCACCAGGAGCTCGGCATGCAAAGTCCCGTCGGGGTCGTAGGCAGTCCAGATAGGTCTAAAGGTCTGGAGGGCTATGTTTTGACACTCTGCAAGGTCAGGGGCTCCCGCCCCCCCACACCAACACACCAACACACCAACACACCAACACACACAAACACACACACACACACACACACACACGCACCTGCGATTGCATGGGTGTCGGTGCGGCGCTCGCGGGTGCACGCGCGCGCCAGCGTGCCTGGGGCGTGGGGGCCTGGAGACCCGGGTAGTCTCAAGCCCGCCCCGAGGAGGTGGCACCGCATGCAGTGGAACCTTGGAACGCACGCCCCGATCACGACGACGAAACAACTTCAAGATATTCACAATACTTTGCCTGGTTGTTTGGCGAACTCCATGGCAGGACAGCATGTGCACAGGCAGCGGGAAGCGCGCTTGTGGTCGAAATGCTCCTTGATCGCCCTCGAGATGTCCTGAACACGCGGCCACTGATGCATCTTGCCACCGCCCCCGCGCCGCACTCTCCTCGTCTACCCCATCTCTGCTCGCTACTCTTTCCCCCCTCTTCCCCGCTCTCGCTGACTCTATCTCTCTCTCTCTCTCTCTCCCTCTCTCTCTCTCTCTTTTCTTTATTTCTCTCTCTCTCTCTCTCCCTCTCTCTCTCTCTTTGTTTTTGCCCATTATTGTTTGTTGTTCTCTCTTTTTTTCTCTCTCTCTCTCTCTCTGTAGTTATGCACACACGCTCCAACCTGCCTCCTCCCGCCTCCCTCCTCCCTTCCCTCTTGCCTCCCCGTTCCTTCCTCTCCCCCCTCCCCTCTCGCACGCTCCTCCTGGGCCTCCCTCGGTCTCCCCCCCCCCCATTCCTCCACCCTCCGCGCAAGCCGCAAGGGGGCCGCGACCCCATGGCGCCAGCGGCCCAACCCCACCCCCCGCACGCGGGACAGCACCCCGAGGGGCGGTGCCGCCTCGCCCATCCGCGCGCGAGGCCGCGTTCCGAGGGCCAAGGCCGTCACGCCTCCTGGGCCGCCCCCCCGCCCGTTCCAGGGGGGGGGGGGGCGGACGCTTCGGCGCCTTGGGGTGGGCTTGCCCCGGCGGAGCCCGGGCCGGCGAATCGCGTTCGGGAAGGGAGACCCCGAAGAGCCCACAGAGGCGTCAGGCCAGCGTTCTCTCTCCCGCGCCCGGGGGGATACTCGACCGCCAACATGGGCGAGGTCACTCTTCCCCCCCGGGGGTGGGCCTGCCCCCAGGGTCACCCCCTCAGCAACATGCAGCCCGAGCACGCAGCCCCCGCCCCCCCCCACTGTGATTCGTACTTGCTGCTGGCCTGCCTGGTGAATTCAGCGTTGCTTGATGACGGGGCGGGGCGCAAAAACGTTGAATGTTTGGGCCATTCAAGTCCCTCAAGGGCCATAAGGGAGCACCGTTTTTTAACCGCTCCATGTTTCGCCCCCCGTTGCGCCACGCCCGATTTCGCCTGGTTTCGAGCCTCGCGGGGCCTTCGCGCCCCACCGATCGATCTGGCTCGGAAGAGGCCACAAAAGGATGGGGAGCACGACTCCGTCCGCGATCTCGGATGATGCTGCACTTCCCCCGCGGCATCACAAGAAAAACGGCGTCGCGAACAATGACTTTCAATGTTTCGCGCTGGCGTTCCTCATTGGCTCGCGAAGCGTGCCAAGAACGGAGCCGCAGGCGCCACCACGAAGGTTCAACTCATATCAATACGCGCGCAGTTCCGGAACGGTATAACTGTAGTTATCATGTTCGATATCAGTGGCGGTGCACGAAGACACTCGGTGGTAGCCGTGCGGTTCGTGGCCACAAACCCCTTTTGTGGCCCACTGCCATGTAGCCGGCAACGTCGTGGCGGAACCCCTCTGCCTCAGCTTCTTCCCTACCGCCGTATTTGCATCATCCGTTCAACGCTCGGCGGAAATGTGCAACAAACGGCATGTTAGCTCCGTCTGGTCTGCGGGCCGCAGTGGCTGACCGAAGTGGAAGCGCGCTCTGTCTTCCGCGCCCAACCGCATTCGCGCCGCCACGCCACGACGCAATATAGAGAGGACGAGGCAAGAGGAGGAGAAAGAAAGGTAATACAGAGGAAGAAAAATAATAGCACCATCCAACGCTTATGAACACTAGCCCGTGAACTCGGCTGGCTGGCGTGCCAGGAGGAAAGAAAAAGGCAAAAGGGAAACAAAGGGCAACAGCGAGACAGCGCGCGCGCTGTCAGGTGGCCTCTTGGCCAAGGAGGAGGGAAGGCGAAGAGGGAGGGAAGGCGAAGAGGACAACCCGTAGATAGCAGGGGGAGGTGGCAGGCAAGCAGGCAGGCATAGAAGTGGTACCGCACGGTAGCGAGGTGTGAGCCACAAGGACTCGCAGTCATGCGCTCACGCGTGGGGGCGGGCGGAGGGCAAGGAGGCGACGGGGGCGTGGACGAGAGGGACGGGATGCCCAGTGGCGTTTTTTCTCGTCGGGCCATCAGGCTCGCATATGCCCGGCAGCGCGGCGCACAGCTCCGTGCCGATGGCCGCGGTCAGCCGCCTGCACCACCACTCCTTACCAGAGTGATTTTCTAGTCGCGAGCGTGCGGGGGATGGCTGTCGTCCGGGGGCGCGGCCAGCCCCAGCAAGTGTCGACCAGCGGCTGTTGGGTGATGTTCTGCGGCGCGAGAGCATCGACCTCCGCCGACTGGTACTTCATCTCCGCCGCCTCCTCCCCCGCTCCTCCGCCCCCTGTCGGCCGTGCTCCCCTCGTCGGTCGCGCCCCCCTGCTCAACCCCCAGCCCCTCCGCGCATCCACTCGTCCGCCTCCTCCTCCTCCTCCTCCTCCTCCTCCTCTTCCTCCTCCTCCTCCTCCTCCTCCTCCTCCTCCTCCTTCTCCTGCTCTCGGGGCCGCGCAAACATGGAGTTGCGATCCATGGATCTGGCGCGCAAGATGCGGCTGGTGCCGCCCCGTTGGGCGGCGGGCATCCGCGATTTTCCAAGGAAGCGGGACCCGTCGCTGATCCACGCCCCCATTGATCCATGTCTGCGATCGCCTGACTCTGGTCCTGCCGCCCCTCCGATCCTCCGCCCACCCTCGCCGGTCGTGCTCCCCCCCCCGCTCGAGCCTCGGCCCCCTCCCGCGCCCGAGCCCTGCCCCCGCAAGCGGTGCTTCCGCCGCCGCTCCCCCGTGCCCATTGCGGCACCTGCTCAGTTGCTGCTCCTGCGCCTGCTGCTGCTGCTGCTGCTGCTGCTGCTGCTGCTGCTGCTGCGTTGGACACATCTGTGTGGACAAGCTTTACTCTGAGCGCCTGTTGAATGATATGCGCAGCACTGGGCCCTTTTATTGGGCCACTGCTGCGGTAGCAGAGGAGACGAGCACCGCAGTGGCTCGCCCCAAAGGGACGGCAATCCGCTGCCTCCAATCGCGCAGCGGCGACCGCGCGCACCCCGCGCAGCGGCGACAACTGCTGCTGCTGCTCTTGCTGCTGCTGCTCGTCTTCATGCTTGCCTTCGTGCTCGTCGTCGTCGTCGTCGTCCTATGCGTCGTCCTATGCGTCGTCGCCGTCGTCGCCCTCCCACTCCCCTCGTGTCCTATGTATCCTCTTCCTCCCTGTCCCTTCTTCGTCCTCCTCTTCTTCCGCCTCGTTCCCCTCCTGGCTTTCTGCCTCCATGCTGTCTCCTGTCCGCTCCACCTCCATCCCACCCCATTTGAGCCTCCAATCCAAGCGCGTCACGGGAGGTAAAACAGCTCGCCGCCCCGCAGACCTCAGTACTACCAAAGAAGCTCCCTGTCCGACCCCCACCGCCGGCGCGCCTTCTCATTCTCGAACTTGCCCATGGCTTGAGTGGCCTGGGCGCGCGCACAATGCTCACCCACTGTCTGCAACTGTGCGCGCGCAGTCCAAGAAAGTCGCAACTGAACATCGGCCCGATGAGGTTTTCAAGAGATTAGTGAGCAGTGGAAGCGACAAGGCGCGTGTTCTTCACCAGTCATGTGTTTCACGTGCCCAGTTGTGTCTGACACACTTGTTCAACGCCTTCGCCTGAAACTGGCGTCGACTACTGTCGTCCTTCTGGCTGGTGTCGGGCGTCGTGTCCTTACCGCTTCTGGCTGCCATTACTTTACTGCTCCCCGACAAACACCCCGCAAAAACAGAAGAACCATTGACACAACCAAGACACGTAGTCGGGGAACTGCCATACCCTACTGCAGGCTGCAGTGGACCTGGGTCAGCACACCATGGGGCAGTCCCAGCTTCGAATCGCGCACTTTGGCGCGATGCGAGGGAAACTCTCCTGTCTGAATTCGTCGCAGCTGGTCCGAACCTCCAGCCTTGACTTGCTCCGTCCTGCACCACTTCGAGAAACCCGACGTGAGCTTCCCGTCAGACGCCACCGATCCACGACGGCAGCAAAGACAATCGACGCGACAGGGGCGGCGCGGCTGAGCCCCCCAGCCTGGAGCAAACTGCGGCCTCGCTACCAAACACTTGCATCAGCCAACTCCTCCAACCCCTCGTCAACCCCGTACCCGAACTTGTGCGACGGCCCGATCTCCTCCCATCGGCCCCCGACTCGTGGGGCGACCCCAGGCTCGGGGGCCTCCAGGGGGTCAGGGCCCTCAAGAGCCTCGGGGCCCCTGGGGTGCCACTAGGCCTTCGTCGTGTCCTCCTGGTCCTGGTTCTCAGCTCCAGCATGCACCGCAGCCGCCCTTGCGGGCGGACTCTGCGGCCCAAACTTGCAAGCCCTGCCACAGCTGAAACTGCTCGATGTCCACCCCGCGCACTGCAGCTCGGGAGAGAGGCTGGGTTCAAGCCAGGTGCCCTCACGCCTCACCTGACGTCCTATCCCTCCATCTCATCCCCTCTCATGGCGCTGGCGTTTCTTGACCCGCGGACGTGTGTCATGGCCGACCTGGGACCCCCACGGAAAGACCACTTTGTTGGGCGCAACCAGAAGACCCAGAGCTGCCTACACAGGAGGACCAGGCAGCGGGTGAGCAGGAGGATGAGCGGGAGGAAACGAGTGAAGACGAACAGCAGGCCTGGCCCAGTCCAAGGACAGGCCCCACGTGGCAAGGTCTTAACCCCCCCCCCTGGCCCGCAGCTTCGGTATCACGCCCCCTCCCCCTCCCCCACTCCCTGACTCGGCGTCCACAACACTCCTTCTCCACCTCATCCTCCTCCGCCTCCTCCTCCTCGTCCTCACTCTTTCAAACTCTCCAGTGAGAATTTTGTGTTACGAAGCCACTTCATCAAGAACAGCTATGACATTGAAAACTGTCAAATACACTCCCCTTCTGTTCCACTCGACCTCAGTCCTCCACGCTCCTCCCTCCTCTCCACTCCTCTCAACTCCCCCACGCCTCAAAACTCCCCTGCAATCCTCAGAAGGATACTTCCATTTGCTGCGGCTTCCAAACAGTTCGGTGTTCAGCTGTGGCTCCCTCCGATCAGCTAATTGATGTGCATCATCTTCTCTCCCCCCCCTCCTCACTCCTCCCCCGTCCTCCCAACTCCTACCAACTCCCCTCCTCTCCACGAAATGCTTTTGAACAATGGGGGGGGGGAACCGACAGCGTTCATCCAATGCACAGCTTGCCGCAATTTTCTGGCTCATCGCGCTCGTACACTGAAGAAAGTAGTGCGGCCCAAATCTCGTCATTCCTGATCAACTCGCTGTACTGGCAAGCGTTGTGCGCCCGGACAAGCTGGACGACAGCGAAACCCGCCGCGGCCAAACCATCGCTCCGTGCCTCTCTTTCGTACCCTCCTCCATGGCCACCTCCCACGAGCTGGAGGGCCTTCGAGAAAGCGTCCCTCAACATCTCGCTGTTCTCGTCAGTGTCATGCTGGACCTTGGGGGATATCATCACGTCACCTCCTCTCCCTCCTCAATCTCCCTCATCCTCCCCATCCTCTCCGCTCCCATTCCGTGTGTGTTCGAGTAATGTGTGCTCCGTCGCGCATGGATCGCACGGTTGGAGCAATGGCGCAATCGAATGGAACTATCGATATGGCCAACTGTATAAGTCATCAATCATGACACGGTTCATAGTAATACACCTCTGGGACCATCAGTGCTACTGTTCCAAAGGAGGCATCACTTCGAAACGTATCATTCGACTACTGGGCAATCGCGGACAAGCGATCGTCCGTTTCTGTGCCCACGAATACTCTCTCTAGATAGATGCGTAAGTAGATACACGTGTACACGTCGTCCTCAGGACGCAATCCTCGACACACGTGAGGAAGACGACGGCACCATACACGGGGCTGAGCATCGATTCCTCTTGAGAGATGAGATAGGGATGGAAGTGTGGAAAAAGAGAGAGAGGGAGAGAAACAACAAAAAACGATGACAGAGACAGGGGGAGAGAGAGAGAGAGAGAGAGAGATAGAGAGGGAGAGAAAAACACGTACAGACAGAAGGGAAGAAAGAGACAGAGAAAGAGAGAGAGAGAGAGAGAGTTGGAGAGAACCTGCAACAAAAGCTCAACAGCAGCACAAGCATCAAACACCATAGCCCTCATCATCTTCCTCCTGCCCCCAGGCCTCCCTCTGCTCGCGCTGGTGCGCGTGGCGCGCCCGGCACGCGAGGCGCACCTCGCCCCAGCGTCGTGTTTCCAATCATTGACGGTCCATCCAAAGCGACTCCCCGTACCCCTTCCCCCTGGACCTGGACGGGGGGGGCGGGGCTCGCGCGGTCTCAGAGTGCCGTGCTTGCCCAGTATGGCCCAAAGAGGGCATCAGAGAGCCGAAGGTAACCTCCAAGATGGCTCAAGATGGCCCAGAATGACTTCGAACACGCTCCAGAAGGCCCCAGGACCGCCCAGAGACGGCTCCAAGTGGCCTCGGAGCCTCCCAAGGACGCCATCAAGAGGGCAACATCCTTCCAAAACCTATGGACAATCAGTGTGTGGGGCCTTCTCACATGTTCGCTTTCGCCAGCTCTCCGAGGCCTCAAGATGGCCTCCATGAAGGCCCCGGAGAGGCCCAAAAGGAGTCCAAAAGGGTCCCACGATAGCCCAAAAAGCGCCGAAGGCGCTCCAAGAGTGCTCCAACATACAATTTTAGAGGCATTAGAGGGGCGATGCTAATTGAACTGCACCCTCTACAAAACCATTGAAAACAGCAAAGTATCAAGGAGTTTGGCTGGTCGGTGGCATCCTTGGGAGGCTGTTGGCCCAAGAGGGCTCCGAGAAGGCCCCAACATGCTCCAAGATTACCTCCAAGAAGACGCAAGACGATCCAAGCTGGCCTACGATGGCATCCGAGATGATTCCAAGAGGCCCCAAGATCGCTCGAAGTGGCCACGGAGCCTCCGCAGGAGAAGACCAAGAGGCCAAACTCCCGCAAATAAGGAACATCAATGTTGTCTGCGTTCTCGCCTTTTCGCTTTCGGCGGCCCTCCAAGGCCTCAAAATCGCTCCAAGAGGGCCCAAGAGACCTCAAGACAGCCACACGAGCGCTCCAAGAGGGGTCAAAGTGGCGATTTTAATGGCTCTTGAGAGGCGACCCTAAGTGAGCACCCCCCGTTCTTTGATCGAACTTCCCAAGATGGCCCCGAGAGGCCCCCCAAGGTCCCCAAGAGTGCCCTAAGAGGGCGTTAAGAGGTGCCCCAAGAGGGCTCGAGGTGCCCCAAGAGGCCCATCGGGTCCCCAAGAGGCTCCTCCGAGGCATCCCAGACGCCCCAAGAGGCCCCCTGGACCGCCACGAGACCCCCAAGACGCCCCGATAGGACTCCAAGCAACTCTCAAGAGACATCCGAAGAGACACCGAGAGGCCTCTGCCCATGCTGCTCGCCCTCCTCCTTCTCCTGTTCCTCCTCTGCGGGCTAGTGGGGGTGCGCGAAGGCTACAAACCTCCTACGCGAAACTCGCGCTGTCGAGTGCACATTCCCGAATACATGACTCCATATCCGCGCTCAACAGGTCACACCCCCTGACGTATTGTGCCAGGTCTGCGCTCCCGAGGTCACAACCCCTTGTAAATTATGTCAGGCTCGCGTCCCCGAAGCCACAACCCCTTGTAAGTTACAACGCCTTGGCGCTCCCGAAGCCATAGCCCCTGGTAAACCACGCCATGCTCGCCAGGGTAGTACTCCCGAAGCCACAGCCCCTCGTACACTGGTTGGGATATCAGTATGGGGGGGCGCTGTCCCCCCCCCCGTCCCTGCTTCTTGAGAATTCGGTTCGGGGTTCGAGGCCACGAATCCCGAAAAACGTCTCGAACCCTCGAAACCTCAGTAAATTAGATTGGGAGCGCGCTCCCGTTGCTATCACCCCTCATCAACTATGACAGACACGCGCAACCAACCAGCCAGCAAATCCGCCGATCCGGCGTGTGAGTTTCAAGGAGTCTCAGCTACAGCCTCGAGGCTGAGCCTCAGCCTCTGGGGGGGTTGCCGGGGTGGCTCTGCCGGGGAAGGGGGGGTGGGGGGGGGGTGCGAGTTTCCGGCGGATGCGTTTTTTGACACCCCTCACAAGGATCGTGGCCTCCGAGGGGGTTCCGAACTCGAGTACCACCCCTCCCGCACCAAGAGGCTCCGAGGAGGCCTCCAAGAGGCCCCAAGGGGCGCAGAAGAGGCCCCCAAGAAGCCCCAAGAGGCTCCCAAGAGACCCCCAAGAGGCCCTCTAGTGGCCCCAAGAGGCCCAAGAGGCCCCCAAGAAGCCCCAAGAGGCGCCCAAGAGGCCCCCAGAAGTCCCAGCCAACCACGAGATCCCAACCAGCATCCATGAGGCCTCTGACCCACCACCCACGCACGGTGGCGGGATAGGCCGACGGCCACTGGATCCGCCGCCCCCTGCTTGCAGGGGTGCACGGCGTGCTGGATGTTTCAGGTTTTGGTTTTGGTTCTTTTTCCAAAAGAACTCCCCAGTGGGCTCCGGCCCGTCCCGCCACCGTGCCCAAAAACGGCCGTTTCGCTCGGGACATCCTCAAAAAATCGCGAAGATGGCCCAAGATGGCCTCCAAGTCCGCCCGAGATGGTCCAAGACGGCCTCCAAGACGGCCCAAGAGAGTCCAAGACGGCCCAAGACGGCCCAAGAGGCCCCCCAGAGGCCTCCCAGACGGCCCAAGAGGCCTCCAAGAGGTCCTCCAGGAGAGTCCGAAGAGGGCAAAATCATTGATTTTCCCTTGGTGTTTGAAGGATTTTGGCATTTGCGCCTTTTCGGCTCTCCGACGGCTCAAGACGGCCCAAGAAGCCCCCAAGATCGCCCAAGAGGCCCCCAAGAGAGCCCCCTGATGGCCCAAGTGGCCTCCAAGATGGCCCCTAGAGGGCCCCAAGACGGCCCAAGAGGCCTCCAACACGCCCAAGATGGCCTCCAAGACGCCCAAGATGGCCTCCAAGACGGCCCTGGAGCGCCCCAAGAGGGTCCCCCGTTGGCCCAGAAAGGCCCCCAAAACGGCTCCCGACGGCGTCAGACGTGCCAGGAACCCACCAAGATGGCCGAAGTTGGCTCGAAGCTGGCCCAAAAGGGCCCAAGAGGCCCCCAAGAGGGCCTCCAGGAAGGCCAAAAGATGCCAAAATCACTGATTTTCCCAAGGTTTTTGATGGATTTGGGCATTTCCCTTCTTTCGGCCTTCCGACGGCCCGAGACGGCCCAAGAGCCCCCAAAGATCGCCGAAAGATCGCCCAAGAGGCCTCCAAGACGGCGACGATGACCATCAAGACGCCCACGTGTTCCCCGAAGGCTTTCCAAACCGATTCGGGGAACACATGGTCCGATGGCTTGGCAGGTCTGGCCTCAACGTTCGGCCACATAGGCGCTTCCACAAAGGCAGGGGGCGGCGGTGATTCGCCGTAGGCGTCTTCGATAAATGCTGAGTGAGAGGAGGGGAGGGAAAAAGAGAGGAGGGACGAGGGCGAAGAAGGATCACATCAGTCGGAGCGCCCCAGATCGGCGGCACTGGCCGAAGGCCACTACAATAATCCCACATCAAATGCCAACATCTGTCAATCGGTTGAGTTGCCATGAGTTCCCCGAGTCGGTTTGGAAAGCTTTCGGGGAACACATGGGAGAGAATGATTATGAACAGGAAGAGGAAGAGGAAGAAATAGAGTAGGAGGATGAGGGTTGTTAGGAGTCTCTTGGGGCACCCTTGGGGTCTGTTGGGGGCTTCTTGGGGGCCTCTTCGAGGCCTCTTGGAGGCATCTTGGGGGCCTCCTTGGGCCTCTTGGGGGCCTTTGGGGGCTTCCTGGGGGTCTCTTTGGCCGTCTTAGGGCGTTCCTGGTCCGTCTGACGCCGTCTGGAGCCGTCTTGGGGGCCTCTCTGGGCCGTCTTGGGGCCCTCTTGGGGCGCTTCAGGGCCGTCTTGGAGGCCATGTTGGGCGTCTTGGAGGCCTCTTGGGCCGTCTTGGGGCGCTCTTGGGGCCGTCTTGGGGGGCCCTTGGGCCGTCATAGGGCCTTCTTGGAGGCCTCTTGGGCGATCTTGGGGGCCTCTTGGGCCGTCGGAAGGCCGAAAAGAAGAAAACGCAAAAAACCTTCAAAAACCTAAGGAAAACCAATGATTTTGGCCTCTTCGGGCTCTCCTGGAGAACGTCTTGGAGGCCTCTTGGGCCATCTTGGAGGCATCTTGGGGCCATCTTGGCCGTCTTGGAGGGCATCTAGGGCCGTCTTGGAGGCATCATAAGGCCACCTTAGCCGTCTTAGAGACCATCCTGGCCGTCTTAGAGGCATCTTGGAGGCCATCTTGGAACCGTCTGGGGCAGGAAATTGGGGAATTGAGCTCCTGGGCATCCTTTCCGGGTGGCCGGCGGGACGGGCCGAAGCCCACTGGGGAGTTCTTTTGGAAAAAAAACCAAAACCAAAACCTGACAGCTCATCCAGCACGCCGTGCACCCCTGCAAGCAGGGG